GAGAATCTTTGTCTTCTTGACATTGAGCCTCAGTCCATACTGAAGGTTGCAGTCCTTGACCCTTCGCAGCAAGTGTATGAGGTCCTCCTCAGTTTCAGCAAGCAGGGTTGTGTCATCTGCATAAGTCCTACCATTAGAATGCTAATAATTACCACAGGCAGCATCCACTGGTGGGTAACAGAGTGGGCACAAGTGGAGGGCAGGCAGGGCAGCAGCAGACCTCCACATTCCTCCTCCCACAGGCTAAAAGGTCTTCTAATTCACTGCTGCCACCCCCCTGATGTGGGGCCTGCTCACCCTACTACTCTTGAGTGCAGGCTCATCTTAATGACTCCTTTCTAATAAAATTGTGGGAGGGAAGGCCTGACTACAAAGAAGCTGGCAAACACAGCCATCACTGAGTGGCCGAGGGACTGAGGGTACCACGCACCTTCTGATTTGATGGATGACATGGGTACTTGGTCTCTTGTATTGCTCCTACAAAACCAATGATGTCAGTCTTTTTGTTTTTGCATAAACATGCACATGCATGGGACATATTAAATATGCAGGGTGCACAGGAGGCTCATGTCTAAGGAGAGTGCACAATTTGCAAAGTGCCCCTGCACACCAACCTTGTAACATGCAAGTTACTTGTGTAAAAAACAGTGTAACTGTGACAAAGCATCAAACTCTTCTTGCCATCCCATCAGCAGCTGACCCTCCAGTGGGCTTTTGGAGGCTGTAATCAGCACGGGAGAACATAGGCATCCTTTTCCTTCAGAGCTGCTGTTGCATTCGAACCACCAGGATACCAGCTTTGGGTTAACAGTACAACTCCCTACATATTATGCCACAGTGAAGGGACATTTACAAGTAGCTAGCTAATCACTAAATGTCAAGGTTACACAGTCCATTTTCTTCCATACCTGACTCCGTCCTGGTGAACAAAGACCAACTGTGCCCCGGGCAGCTACTCACACGCCTCTAAGACTCCAATACTGTGGAACACACTAGAAAGTAGACCAGAAGCACTAAACATGTTATCAGGCAGGTAAGTGGGATGTCTCATGAAACAATGACCCTTACCCTCCAAAGCAAGGATCCATATTCCATGAAGGTGGTTACATACATAGCATCAGCAAGTTTTTTTTATTATGGTAGCTTTGCCAATCTAACTTTTTACAGGTATACAACTTCATGGAATCTTTCATCACCATACTCTAAATGTCAGCATTCCATAAGCAATAACCCCCTCCCCCTCATCCCTGATGACTAATAAACTTTGGATTTTATACATTTGCCTGCTGTTGACTTTTTATGTAAGGTCATCACATACACTTACTTATGAGAACTGGATGGTGCCTGACTACCGTTCCTGAATATTTAGATCAAAGACTTCTCCAGGGTGATGAAAGAGTAAGGACATTATTTCAAAGACAAGACACACCTCCTCCAAGCCCAAGTATTTCAAACTGCTTCTGCCTATTCATGAATGTTGGACAGTGAATAAGGAGACTATAGATATCACATGCAAGCAAGATTTTGCTGAAGATTATCCAAAAACGACTGGAACAGCACATCAACAGAGAACTACCAGAAGTGCACACTGGGTTTAGACGGGGCCATGGTACTAGGGATACTGTAGCTAATGTTAGATGGATCTTGGCTGAAAACAAGGAGTACCAGAAGAATGTCTATCTTTGTTTCATTGATTACACAAAGGCATTTGACTGTGTGGACCACAACAAACTGTGCCTAACTCTGAGAAGAATGCGAATCCCAGAACACTTGACTGTGCTAATGTGAAGCCTATACTTGGACCAGGAGGCAGTTGTGAGAACAGAGCAAAGAAACACTGCATGGTTCAAAATTGGGAAGAGTGTATGCCAGGGCTGTATCCTGTCTCCATACCTTTTCAATCTTTATGCAGAACAAGTTATCCGGGAGACTGGGCTCTATGAGGAGAAATGTGGCATCAGGATTAGAGGAAGAATCATCAATAATCTGCGTAATGCAAATGACACAACCCTGCTTGCTGAAACTGAGGAGGACCTGAAGCACTTGCTGTGGAAGGTCAAGGACTGCAGTCTTCAGTATGGATTGAGACTCAGTACCAAGAAAACAAAGATTCTCATCACTGGGCTGATTGGCAGCATCATAAAAGAGATTGAGATTGTTCAGAGTTTTGGGTTGCTTGGCTCCACAGTCAACACTTTTGGCACCAGCAGCCCGGAAATTAAAAGACGTATTGCGATGGGAAAGTCTGTGGTTAGAGACCTCTCTAAAGTGCTGAATTGCAAAGATGTCAGTCTGGAGACTAAGGTGTGCCTGATACATTCCATGGTCTCTGCAATCACTTGCTACACATCAGAGAGCTGGACAATGATTAGAGATGATAGGAGAATGGATGCTTTTGAGCTGTGGTGCTGGAGAAGAGTACTGAATATACGATGGACTGCTAGGAGAACAAACAAGTTCATCCTCGAGAGGGTGAAGCCAGGCTGCCCTTTGGAGGCAGGGATTCTGAAGCTTCATCTGACATACTTTGGACATGTTTTAAGGAGGGACCAGTCCTTGGAGAGGGACGTCATGCTTGGGAGGGTGGAGGGACAGTGCAGGAGAGGAAGACCCTCAATGAGATGGACTGATTCAGTGACTGGGGTAATGGGGGTAGGTGTGTCAGAGATGGTGAGATTGGTACAAGATAGGGCAAAGTTTAGGGCTGTTGTACATAGGGTCACTGTGAGTTGCAAGCAACTCGATGGCACATAACAACAACAAAGTATTTACTATCCCACAGAATGCCAAAAGAACAAACAAATCTGAAATGGAAGAAGTCTATAACTTAGTTAATACTACTTTATTGACATTAATGTGTTGGTTTTTGTATGTTTATGTAAGATGCAAAGGTTAGGTCAATCTAAGTATGAAAATGTACTATTTTTAAACTTGTGCAAAACAAGAATTATTTCATAATAAAACTACTGATGGAAAAAAATATATTCAGGTAGTGGACTCTATATAAATATTATGCCATAAATGTCACAATACTGAAGACATTAAAATATTATTCAGGCAGAACTGTAGGAATCTCAACCTGAATCATCAAAGGAATAAAAGGAGCAACCAGAATGCAAGGCTCATAACTGCAAAAACAGTTCACTGCTGGGGTTTATTTTTATAACTGTCAAAGTGTTACCATGCTCTTAACAAAATTCTAACTACTCTTTGAACTTTGGGACAAAGTTTATGTATATGAACATTTTAATAAATATCTAATTAGGGCCAAGTTCATTTCTTTAATAATTAAACGGATTACATATAAAACATGATGGACTTTAAGAGGACACTGGCTCAGCATCTTGTCAACTTATCTCCATGTTCTGTGCGAATGTATAAGGCAGCAGTAACAGGTTGATGTTTATACTGAACTTCCTCTTGCACTGTCCCTCCACCCTCCCAAGAATAATGTCCCTCTCCAAGGAGACCCTCAATGACATGTATTGACTCAGTGACGGGGGTAATGGGGGTAGGTGTGTCGGAGACAGTAAGGTTGGTTCAGGATCAAGCAGGGTTCAGAGCTGCTGTACATAGGTTCGCTGTGAGTCAGTGACTCGACGGCACGTAACAACAACAAACTGAACTTTTGCCTCAACCTCACCGTGTTTCCTCATGTAAAACTACTGTGAGAACTGAGTTCTCTGTGACCATTTTACAATGTATTGAACCCAACCGAGAATTAGTGAGTGCTGTGAAGGGACAGCTGTTATCAGTAGTGGGATTATCAGACTTGGTAGAAATGGTACAGATGTTTATATATAACAAACGGTTTCATTAAACCTCGCTTTTATAGCAGACCACATTTCTAACAATAGTGTTCTTCACCATCAACAACTACTCAGTGACCCTATGAACAACATATCTGAACTTTGCATATCCTACACCTTACTCATGATCTGATGTGCTCAAGCCCACTGTTAATCACTGTGTCAATTCATCTCATTGAAGGTCTTCCTCTCTCTTTCTGACCATCCACTTTCTAGATGTCTTTTGCCAAGGACTGGCCTCTCCTAACACCATGACCAAGGTAGTAAGACACAGTTTCACTGTTCTCGCTTCTAAGGCACCCTCGTTACACTTCTCCAATACAGACAGATTTGTCTGACAGTGCGTGGGATATTCAGTACTCTTTTCCAACACCACAATTCAAGTGCATCAATTGTCATCCTTATTCACCATTCAACTTGAAGGCATAAAGGGACGTAATTGAAAAGGTCATGACTTGTATCATGTACACCTTAGTCTTTCAAATGACATCTTGCTTTAACCATACCATTTCAAGGAAGTTATCTTCTTTAATCCATTGTTTTACTGACCTGATGGCTTAAAATATTAATGAAACAATAGAATTTACTAAAAGTATTTATTTAGGAGCAATAATATAATAATATATTTAAGGCACATAAAATTTGGCATTAAAATGGAATAACATAAACAAAATACAGATTATTCAGTTCCAGTAAGCTTACAAAAGATAGTTCAATGATTAAAATAGCTTGTTAAGAAGCGTTTCCCGAGCACTAACTGCTCATGTCTCGTAAGGCACGAACGTGTGCACCCTCGTCTCCGCACCTGAGCAGCTGCTGCCTTGTGTACTCCCAGATGAGCAGCGCTCCACTCACATGGACATTGAGCGAGCGGATGATGCCCTGCTGCGGGATCTCCACACACACGTCCAGCTGCTGGATCAGGTTTGCTGGAATGCCTTCCCGCTCATTCCTGAAGAGGGAAAATGTGTGTGTGTGGGGGGAGCAAGGAGAGCTCGTTTTCCTCATTATTGGTTATTGGAAGAGACAGTTTATCAAAATGAAATACATCTTAGTGTTAAGAAATAAGTAGGACTATAACAAAAGGGTTTATATTTCAATTCTGTCTTCAACTAACCATGTGAAACAAACTATAGGGAAGTTTTCTATAAATGTTAGAAATCTTTAAAAGAGTGGCTAGAATGTCAGGAGTATAGGTAAATTATGTAAGAGAAGGCAAAATTTTCCAGAGTAGGAACTCAGAAGATAGACCAGGGATAAAAGATAGTACTTACCCCAACAAGAGGAGTGACTTCTCAGGAAAGCAGTACTGGGTGAGGTCTAAACTTCTGGCAGTTTGTTCCACACCAATGACAGTATAACCTTCTGTTTTTTTCTGCTGCAGATAATCAATTAGCTGAGGTGGCTTTACCTTCATATTAGTTTAAAGAAGAAGAAATTATATCCTTTTAATGCTTTGAAGAAAATAAAAGTTTAAAAAAATCTACAGTGGTTTAATAAAAAACGTTTTTCAAAGAAAAAAAATAACTGTACAGCATAAAAAACAATGCCACTAGCATCATATAAATCTATTTTAAAAATTCCTAAATCAAGAATGAGTTGCAACAGGGTACATTTTGCAGACAGGAATAAATCCTACATTGTTGATAACATCTTTATAAAGGTACAAAAATGTGAAAAACAATAAAACATAATTGGAAAACTTAAACTGTATTTAAATGGTCATAGGTTTTTCAAAGGCCTGTTATTTAGAAAGTAGATGGCTCATCCTGCTTCCTAGTCCGTCTTAATCAGGGAACTCCAGCAAAACCTATCCATCAGGTATAATGGCATTTGACAAATCAGTGGCACAGCTTTCAGTATCACAGCAACCCCGAGTTATTTCAGTACAGCAAACTGACAGACTAATGCTGTATCACTTAGAACAAAGTTCTCCTCAGGCCCAACCAACCAAAGGCCCGCCCACCAGGTCCTGATGGCTTAAACAAGAGGCTTCCAGCACACAGGTGACAATATAATCAGAAACAGCCGATCAGCTTACACTTGGCTGTTAACAAAATTTTTAAAAGCCCAGTTAATTAACACTTTTGGTACCAGGAGTCAGGAAATAAGGAGATGCACTGCACTGGGAAAATCTGTAGTTAAGGAACCTCTCCAAATTGATGTCAGTTTGAAGATTAAGGTGCATCTGATTCAGGCCATTGTCTTTCCAATTATTTGCTAATTAGACCTGGACAACGAACAAGGATGAGAGAAATTGATGTCTTTGAGCTATGGTGTTGAGAGAAAAGCATCAAACATCCCTTGAACAGCCAAAAGAATGAACAGTTATATCTTGGAGAGGATGCAGCCAGAGTGCTCTGGTGAGGCTTTGCCTCACATACTTTAGCATGACGCTAGAAAGGACTATATGCCTTGGAGAAGGACACGATGCTGTGAAGGGTAGAGGATCAGCAAAGCAGAGAAAAACCCTTAACTAGGTGGACTGACACAGTAACTGCTGCAATGGGCTTTTGTGTACCAGGAAGTGTGCAGAGGGTACAGAATAGAACAGCGTTCAGATCTTTTGTTTGTAGGGTCACTATGAGTCATACTCAACTTGACGGCACCTAACAACAACAAGTTGTATTTGATTTTTATTTATAAAACTATTAAAGGTTAGACAACTATAAGTTACTGTAACATGAAGAGAGAAGACAATACAAACTTTTGTAATACAGCAGTCAGTGCTAAGTCCCTTCCCCTTCACCTCCACTCAAGTGCCTTTACCCTTACCTCCACCACAGACTCTTCCCCCTCACCTCCTCCACAGGCCCTTCCTCCTCACCTCCACCAACGGCACCCACTGTTCAGCGGAAACACTAAGGTGCTGAAACTGCTTGTCACTGACGTAGTGGAGGCTGCTCATAACCAGCGCTGAGGCCCCGAATATCTCACAGGTCCGGCACAATCCTACACAACAGACACAGATGAGGATTGATCCCAGTACAGTGGTGACTTCACCATGCCCTGGACATTCCTTTGCACTTCCCCTCTCACCTCCTAGGTTGGTTGGCTTATCAATGAGGGAACCCACCACAATCAGCCTGCCAACTGACTTTCCAAGCTTGGCCGCACGATCCTGAAACTCTAGCCCAGGCTCTAAATCTGGAACTTGGTTTTTCCATGGGATAATCTTCTTCTGAACGTCAGCCCACTCACAGTCATTATCTGTTTCACCTGAGTTAGAACCTGGGAAGAAAAAGAAAATAATCTTATATATGGTGGTGATATGTGCTATCAAGTCAGAACTGACCCACAGCTGACCCTCCAGCAGGTTTTTAGAGCCAGGAAATGATACAGGAGGAGAGAGCCCATCTTTGTCCCTCAGAGCAGCTGGTGGATTTGACAGTGTAACCCCTTAGAAGGCCACCAGAGTTCCCTAATCATCCATCTATCTGCTTGATCACCTGTCTTTGGACTGAGAACAAATATAGACCCTCTTATAGTCAGCCAGGTAATAACTGTCTTTTTAGATTCTTGGCACAGACATGTGAGCCCCTCTGGCAAATGCCTGCCTACTGAAACATCTCAACTGGTTTACTGTCAGTGCCAGTGCTTGGAGACTCCTTCTCCAATGCCTTCCATGCAGCCTAGATGTCTTCTTTTAATACCACCGGATCTGATAACCTCCCCAAAGGGCAGAACATTGGCCAATTCTTTTTGATTCAGTAAATCCTTCGTAATTTCTCTGCAGTGAGATCCTGGGGTTTTTGTTGTCATTCTTTCATTTTAGATCTTTTAAGTATTTAAGACATTTACTTAAAATTTTTGTCTAGTATGGCCTGTGTGCACACTTCCCTTTTTGGGGCAGTGTTGTCTGGTGCTGCTGTGTTCACTCTGACCCCACAATCCTCTGTAATAAACGGAAACCTGCAGGGTCCCGTGCCGTGCTCACAATCCTAGCTGTGCTCACACGACTGTCACAGTCACTGTGTCACTCCACCTCGTTCAGGGTCTTCCTGTTTCTGACCCTCCACCTTTTTCAGCATGCTGTCTGTTTTTAAGGACTGGCCCCTCCTGACAACATGTCCAAAGTATGTGACACAGACTCTCACCATCTGTGCCTCTGAGGAGTGCTCTGGTAGCATTTCCAAGACAGAGTGGTTAGTTTCAAATATTGTTGTTGGTGTTATTAGGTGCTGCCAAGTCAAATATGACAGCCAACCTGAACCCTGCCCTATCCTGAGCCATCTTCACATCTGACACATTAGAACCCACTGCTGAGGTCACAGTGTCAATCCATCTCATTGAGGGTCTTCCTCTCCTTCGACGACACTCCATCTTTCCAGGCAGGAAGTCCCTTTCTAAGGAACAGACTTGCCTCGCTGCATGACCACAGTACGAAAGGCGAAGATTCACCATCCTTGCCTCCAGGGTGCACTCTGGCAGCACTATTCCCAAGACCTATCTGTTTGTTCATTTAGCAGTCCATTACAACATGGTAACTTGGGACATTAAGTTCGCCCATCCCCAGGTATGGTGCTGCTGATGGTTGAAGGCTTAGCTTGTTTAATGTTCTGACTGAGGTTTCCCGGAGTGCCAGACGTGAAAAAAAAACACCTCAGCAACCCTCTTCCCTAGGCTTATCAGGACTGGCTCAGTGGTGCCATGCCCACATTGATGCTTCCTCAGAGAGGGCTTCTGGCCATTACCTCCCAGCGAATGGGTGACAGGTTCCTTTTATTGAATGCCTGTCCTTTTCTCATTGAAAACTAGACATCCTAACGTTATCATGTAGTCCCTCTGGACACCAGCTGCTCCCTGTTTCCCAGGGTTTGTTCTTGACTGTTAAAGCTCAGCTTGTGCTCAGCGTTGTGACAGAGGTTTCTCTGGCAGTCAGGAACTCGGAGGTTGGAGGAAAGGGCATGAAGCCTCACACAGTTTGTGTGGATTTGCTTTCTACTGGGACTCTTCTCTGACACTTTGCTCAGCCACTCTTAATTCTACCTCAGCCTCAGCTCCTGTTTGGACTGGCGTGGAGATCACCGGTGTTCAAAGCTGAGGGTCTTCGTAGGACTTTTCTGGCATGTCCCTTTCCAGAACCCTCATGTAGCACTTCTGAACATCCTCATTTTTCAGAGAAGCCTCTTGGATTTTCCTTCCCAGGTGTTAGGTATATGTTAGCCATCGTCTTGTGCCCCAGGTGGCTGGGAGTGTTTCCACAGCCTTACAGTGTTTTCAGGGAAGAGTGACCACTTCCAAAGCCTGAATGGTCTGAAGTCAGAAGAAACCTGGATGAGTGGGTCTCAGGTAACACCCAGACAGGTCAGAAGACACAGACTGTTCCCTGCAAGGAAGGCCTGCTCTGCTCTCCCAAAGCCTGTAAAGCCTGTAGCCAGGACCCCACAAGAAGATACACTGCCATATTACTCTTTCATTGATGTGGTGAATTCTGCCATCTGTACTAATTAATTTAAATGAGCCTAATCAAATCAGTAAGACGAGGAAAAAAGAAAACTAGTTTTACCTATGTCCTGCTGGGACCAGTCCCCTGCTTTCAGGTCACTAAGCTGAGTCTGAGAAAGGTACCACTGAAAGCCGGCATCTAACGGAATGTCGGTGAATCTGGTAAACTTATCAATGGCAATCCATTCGTCTTCAATGAGGCCTGAGAGGCGCGGGAGGATGTAAAATATGGTCTGAAAGGAGAATTGCAAAAAAAACTAAACTCTTAAAAATAACAGACTTCCTCAGCCATTAACATGTTTCAAATACAACTTCATTACCGTGACTGACACACTCTCCCAACCTATCTAATGAAATTACCTACTTTCTATCTCATAGTGAGACTCTGTATTATTTCTCAACTCTTAAGAAACATGAGGACTAATTTAGGGAAACCCTAAGAGCAAACAGATCTGCTCCTGCATTCCCAACTACATGCCATACATCACAGGATATACAGTATAGACTCTTAATGAAAATGAGAAGTATTTTGTAAATAGCTGGTACTAACGATGGACTGCCAGGAAAACAAACAGATTCATCTTGGAGAGGATTAAACCAAGCTACTCCTTGGAGGCAAGGATTCTGGGGCTTCGTCTGACATACTTTGGACATGTTGCCAGGAGGGACGGGTCCTTGGAGAGGGACATCATGCTTGGTAGGGTGGATGGACAGCGCAGGAGGGGAAGACCCTCTATGAGATGGATTGATTCGGTGACTGGGGTAATCGGGATGGGTGTGTCAGAGGCAGTGCGGTTGGCGCAGGATAGAGCAGGGTTTAGGGCTGTTGTGCATAGGGTCGCTATGAATCGCAAATGACTCGACGGCACATAACAACAACAACAACAACATTGGACAGCTCTGGTGGCCTAATGGATAAAGAGCTGCACTGCTAACCCAAAGGCAAGCAGTTCAAACCCACCAGGTACTCTGTAGGAAAGAGAGGGCAATCGCCTCCAGAGTGATTTAGAAACTCTGAAAACAGAGGGTCAGCTCTAAGTCAGTCCCAACTCGACGGCACAAAGGAGTCCTGGTGCAGAGTGCTGAGTAAGTGGAAGGTCAGTGATTTAAATCCACCAGCGCTCTAAGGGAAAGACGGGCAGCCTCCTCCTACAAAAATGCATAGCCTCGGAGCCTGCTGCTGGGTGATAGTTGAAATCGACTTGATGGTACCTGGGTACTTGGTGGAGAAGTGCAATTCATTGACAAGGAAGCACATCCCTACCCTGTCCAGTCTAAGCCTTGTGGGGACCAGATCTCTTTTTTTTTTAAAATTAGTTTTAATGAAAGTTTACAGAGACTTAGGGTTTCCATTCATTCATTGTTGCACTTTTCTCTCTGCCCAACCTCTCCCCCCAATTCACACGTCTCCTTGAAAAGTAAAAGAAGAACTCTTTCATTGTTATGCAATCCCTGCCACCCAATTCCACTCCACTATGCAGCCTTCATTCTGGACTCCTGTCATGACAATAATAGTCAATCATATATGCATTTTAAATAGTTCTCTTCCTCATCTGTTTCAATGCATCATTCCTCCCCTCCTTCTCGGTCTTCCCTCAACCCTGATGGCAGTCCTGTTTTACAACAGTGGCCCTATGCAATATTTGTTTCTTTTGTGACTGAGATATTTCACTCAGCATAATATCCTCCAGGGTCACCCATTTTGCATAATACTGCATGAGTTCCTTGTTTTTTAATGCTGTGTAGTATTCCAGTGTGTGAATATACCAGAGCTTCTCTATATATTTGTTTGTTGATGGGCACTTGGGTTGTTTCCAGCTCTTTGCTATTGGGAACAAAGCCACAATAAACATGGGTGTTCATCAGATCTCTTTCTCTTTAAATTTACTTAGGCAAATTTAAAATCTGAATTTTGACAGAAAGAAAGAGAGAGAGAGAGAGACAGAGAGACAGACAGACAGAAAGAAAGACAGAAAGACAGAAAATAATTAGCTGTGTTGTGTTGGCAAAGCACTTAGCTTTTACTGGCTTCAACCCTCCCCTCTATAATATGAGAGTGAAATCAGATTCAAACAGCTGCTTGAAAGTGTTGCAATAGTTCCTCAGTGCCACACCACTGTCAACAGTTCTCAATCAGTAAGTACATAAACCAGCCTCCTAGAAGATGAGAAACGGAAAGACCAAAGGGGGAAAGGGTCACAAGAAGCAAAAACAACAAGCAGAGAATGTAATAATTAGATATTAAAAATATGTATGACAATGTATAAGTCTTGTAGAGTGTTTTGATTTTCTTCATGACTACATCTAAAAATTTTAAATACATACAATTCTAAGTTAAGCCCTAAATAGATTGTCTTTTTTTTTTAATGACAACAGAGGCACAGAGACTTGTACACTAGTGTTCAAAGTAGCATTAGTCACCACTGTTAGAATATGAAAACAGCCCAGAGTCCAACCACAAATGAATGGATTGAAAAATTAAGGTACATTCACATGATGGAGTACTACGCAGCACACAGGAGCAATGATTTTGCAAATTATTACCTAATCTGGGAGAGTCTGAAGAGTATTATGCTGAGTAAACTATCTCAGTTCCATAAGAGAGAGCTCTTATGATTCATTAACACTAATTATTTTACTTACATAAAAACCTATGATTTTCATTGGAGGACAAAGAGTACATGAGTGAGACCACCAAAGGACGAACGAGAGAAAGGGGAGTCAGAGGACTGACTGCTGCTCAAGAGGTGGCCAGATAAGGCTAACCATTGCAATAGAGAGCCACCAGAAGGGTCCTTCAAAAAGATGGCAGCAGGGCATTCTGGGCACTGAAGATCAGAGAAAGCGGACATAGCTGATCCTAGTTTCAAAACTAAATTATCAAAACCCTCAGTAACATTTGCACAGAAGCAACACACAACCCACAGGCTAACATCCTCTGTCATGAGATGTATAGCCAGATTTTTAAAAGCTAATGTATTAGTAATCTGTAAAAAAAAAAAGGGTGCATTAGGTTCTGTAGAGGAGCAGTCCTGATTCAAATGCCATAGATTAAAAGACAGAACACTGCAATTATAGTTCAAACAGGAACAGTCTGTTGCACCGTTTCCTCCTTCCCCCTCCATTTCCCCTACCCCAGTACTTTCTTTTTAAAAAATATTTATTCATTGTTACAAAATGTATATTAAAATCATGTTTCCAATTTCTTTTGGAAAAAAAACCAAACAGGAACAGTCAAATTTATCAATTAATACATTACATTTTACAGAAAATTAAGTTAATATTTTAGTTATAAATAGATTTATGGTTCTTAAAATATATAAACACACTGCATTATAATCAATTGTGTGATGTTATTTGTTACTCAATTTTAGTTATGTAGATAATACTAGATAACTATAGAAATACAATTTTTTTTAAAAAAGGTTTTTTTCCTTCAACAATGGGCTCCATATGACAAAATCTCATTTGCACAAATGCGTTCTCTCATTTTCTTTTTATATCAGAACATAAATCTGTTTGGAGTTAATATTTCCTTCCAATGACTAAACCAGACACTGACTAAGAAATAGGAGGGTAAGAAGATTGGCCAATTTTTACTGCACAGAAGTATAATGCAAGTTACCTGTGTTGCTGTGTTAGGCACCGTCAAGTATGACTCACAGCGACCCTATGCACACCACCAGACCTGACCCCTGTCCTATCCTGTGCCTTCCTCATCCTCTCTGTGCCACCGATTGGGAACTGACTCCTTGCTGACCCTTCAGGAGGTGTTCAGAGGCTGCAAATCGCCTGAGAGGAACTGCTTATCTTTTTCCCTTAGAGCAGGTGGAAGATCCAACCACCCACCTCTGGGTTGGCAGCACAGCTCCGTATGAAGCCACCAGCGCTCACTAAAAATATACTAGACAAAAATGTTCTCTACTCACCTCCACACAATAATCCTTCAGTGGATGAAACGCTGCAAAGAAGAAATGATCCTGAATGCGCTGCCAGTTCTTCTTGGCATTCCTGAGAAGTAAAGACACCAGGGACTGATTGAGGAAACCACCAGATAGGCAGCACCTTGAGTCAGCTTTCTTACAGACGGGCTGCAGAATTTGGAGTGCTTGGTAGCGCAGCGAGGTTCAGCATGTAAACTGCTAATGAAAAAGTCAGTGGTTTGAACTGGCCAGCTGCTCTGCAGAAGATATGGTTGTCTGCTTCTGCAGACTCCAGTTCTGAAATCCTAACAGGCAGTCTCACTCTGTCCTACAGGCCAGGGAGTCAGAATCGACTCAATGACAATGGGCTGGGCAAAATGTTGAATGGAAACATTTTTAATATTAAAATACTTAAACACAGATTTTTAGTAGATTTCAGACAGAGTGAGTGTGTGTGTGTGTGAAAGAGAGAGAGAGAGAGAGAGAGAGAGAGAGAGAGAGAGAGAAAAGAAGAGATCCAGAGGTTTTAAGAGAATATTTTGTTGTAAAATTTCATATTTTAAATGAAACTCAAAGATATAGAAATAACTTTCAAAGACACACACAAAAAAGCAATGGTTCAGCTGGAAGGGGAAGCAGTTGGACTCTGGAAGGTAATTTATTACTTAATTAATAATCAGGTGTAAACTGTTTGGTTGTTTTGATTTAATTAGCAATCAGTTATAGACGGATTTATACCTCACTTAAAACCTAATTAAAGCCTCCTTTAAACCAATCAGGACCTGATGGCCTTTGTGATTAACTGTTGGTTAAGGCCTTCCTGATAGCCTTTGTTTGAACAGTTGGATTCTGGAAGGTAGGAAGTTTTTTTTACGTTATTAACCATCAGGTGTAAGTTGTTTGGTTGTTTTGATTTCATTTTAATTTTGAAAAATGAAATGGAACACATGAACATTGACTTTCTAGGCATTAGTGACATAAGTTGGACTAGCTTTGTCCACTTTGATCAGCTGGGAAAGAAAAACAGAAGAATGGTGTTGGAATCATAGTAAAAAAGTCAACTTCAAGTTCTAACCTGAAATACAATATTATGAGTGATAGGATATTATCCATATGCATACAAGGCAGGCTTGTTAATATGATTATCATCCAAATATATGCTCTTCCATCTAGAGCCAAAGAGTTTAAAATTTTTACCAAATCTTACAGTCTAAAATTGACTGAATATGCAATCAAGATGTGTTAATAATAATTTGTGATGGAAAAGCAATAGTTGGAAATAGTCAAGAAAGCATAGCAATTGGAAAATATAGGCTTGGTGATAGAAATGAGGCTGGAAATAGAATGATCAAGTTTTGTACCGCCAGTGATTTATTCATTGCAAATACCTTTTTTTTTTAAAAAAAGTTTTAATTTTATTATTTTGTGTGTGTATATTGTCAAATCAGATCTGAGTGGTAAAGGAAGAGATTGCCCCTCCTTCTTCAGGAGAACATCTGGTGGATTTGAACCACACACCTCTGGGATTGCAGTGTAGCTGCAAATACCTTTTTTTAAAGACACAAATGTTAACTTTATACATAGATCTCACCCTGACAGGTTTCATAGGAATCAAACTGACTACACCTGTAGAAGCAATCCTTGGAAAAGCTCAATATTCACAGTCAAAACTAGGCCAGGGCTGGACTTGGGATTAGACCATCAATTACTCATGTGCAAGTTCAAACTGAGGCTGAAGAAAATGAAAATTAAGTCCATGAGAACCAAAATATGATCTTGAATCTATTCCATCTGAATTTCAAGATCACATTAGGAACAGATTGAAAGCACTGAACACCAAAAATTGAAGACCAGATGAGCAATGAGACAATAACAAGGATAATGTCCATGAAGAAAGCAAAAGGTCAATACAAAAGGAGGAGAAAGAAAAAAACAAAAGGGATGTCAGAGGAGACTCTACAGTTTGCACTAGAGCATCGAGAAACCAAAACAGAGGGAAAACATTCCTAAGTAAAAGAGGTGAAAAGACGATTCAAAGCGCGGCTCAGGAAGACAAAACAAAATATTGTAATATATATAATGTGCTGAGAGCTTGAGTTGGAGAAGAACTTGCTCTGCATTTCTCAAGCTTGTTGTTGTTATGTGCTGTTGAGTCACTTGCAACTCATAGCGACCCTATGTACAACAGCCCTAAATTCTGTTCTGTCCTGTGCCAATCTCATTATCTCCAACACACTCATCCCGATTGCCCCAGTCACCGAATCAATCCACCTCCCAGAGGGCCTGCCCCCAACCCTCCCAAGCATGATGTCCTTCTCCAAGGACCGGTCCCTCCTTACAACATGACCAAAGTATGTCAGATGAAGTCTCTGTATCCTTGCCTCCAAGGAGCAGCCTGGTCTCCCCATCTCTAGAATGAACCTGTTTGTTTTCCTAGCAGTCCATGGTACCCTCAGCACTCTTCTCCAAGACCAGAGCTCAAAAGCATCAATTCTTCTTCTATCCTCCCTGGTCATTGTCCAGCTCTCTGATGCATAACAAGTGACTGCAAAGACCATGGCCTGTACCAGACGCACCTTAGTCTCCAGAGACACACCGTTGCTCTTGAGTACTTTAGAGAGGTCCCTAGCAGCAGACTTTCCCATGGCAATACATCTTTTAATTTCCTGGCTGCTGGTGCTAAGGGTGTTGATTGTGGAGCCAAGTAGACTAAAGCTGTGAACAATCTCAATCTCTTCACCATCCATCCTGATGCTGCCAATTGGTCCAGTGGTGAGAATCTTCGTCTTCTTGACATTGAGCCTCAATCCATATTGAAGGCTGCAGTCCTTGACCCTCAGCAGTAAGCGCTTCAGGTCCTCCTCAGGTTCAGCAAGCAGAGTTGTGTTATCTGCATAATGCAGATTGTTGATAGATCTTCCACCAATCGTGATGCCGCATTTCTCCTCACAGAGCCCAGCCTCCCGGATGATCTGTTCTGCATACAGGTTGAAAAGGTATGGAGACAGGACACATCCCTGGTATACACCCTTCCCAATTTTGAACCATGCAGTGTTTCCTTGCTCTGTTCTGATGACTGCTTCTTGGTTAAGTTTCGCATTAGCATGATCAAGTGTTCTGGGACTGCCATTCTTCTCAGAGGTAGCCATAGGTTATTATGGTCCACACAGTCAAATGCCTTTGCATAATCAATGAAGCACAGACAGACATTTCTCTGGTACTCCCTGCTTTCAGCCAAGATCCATCTAACATCAGCTACAATATCCCTAGTACCACGACCCCTTCTTAACCCAGTCTGGACTTCTGGCAGTTCTATGCTGATTTGCTGTTCCAGTTGTTTTTGGATAATTTTCAGCAGAATCTTGCTTGCATGTGAAATCAATGATATTGTTGTATAGTTTCCACACTCTGTTGGGTCACCTTTCTTTGGAATGGGAACAAATATAGATCTCTTCCAGTCAGTTGGCCAAGTGGTTGTTCTCCAGATTTCTTGGCACAACTTGGTGAGCATGTCCAGGGCAACATCTGTTATCTGAAATACTTCAATTGGTATACCATCTATTCCTGGAGCCTTAGTTTTTGCTATTTCCTTCAAAGCAGCTTGAACTTCTTCCTTCCTCACCACAGGATCTTGCTCATATGTTGTTTCATTAAATTCTTCTGTGTCTGCCAATTCCTTTCGATACAGTGACTCAGTATATTCTTTCCATCTTCTTTTGATACTTCCTGGATCTTTTAATACTCTGCCTAAAGCAGCCTTGATTACAGCAACCTGAGGTTTAAATTTGTTCTTTAGTTCCTTGAGCTTAAGAAATGCTGAGCAAGTTTGACCCTTTTGGTTTTCTGACTCCAGCTCCTTGCATATTTGCAATAATGAAAGATCCTATGGGCAATATTTTAAATGACCTAGAAAACATCAAAAGAAGATGAAAGTCATGCACAGAATCACTGTACCAAAAAGAACTGACAGACAACGAAAAATTTCAGGAAGTACCTGAAAGATCCTATGGGCAATATTTTAAATGACCTAGAAAACATCAAAAGAAGATGAAAGTCATGCACAGAATCACTGTACCAAAAAGAACTGACAGACAACGAAAAATTTCAGGAAGTACCTGAAAGATCCTATGGGCAATATTTTAAATGACCTAGAAAACATCAAAAGAAGATGAAAGTCATGCACAGAATCACTGTACCAAAAAGAACTGACAGACAACGAAAAATTTCAGGAAGTACCACATGAGCAGGAGCCAATGGTAATGAAGGAGGAAGTCGAAGCTGCACTGAAGGCACTGGCAAAAAAATAAGGCCCCAGGAATTGATGGGATACCAACTGACTTGTTTCAATTAACAGATAACAAGGACAGAAGAAGAATTGATGCCTTTGAGGTTTGGTGTTGGAGAAGAGCGCTGAACATCAATCACATGGATGTCCAAAAGAACAAACATATCTTAGAGAGGGTGCAGCCAGAGTGCTCTTTGGAGACAAAGATGACAAGGCTTCACTTTACATACTTTAGGCATGTTGCTAGGAGGTGCTATTCCTTGGAAAGGGACATGATGCTTAGGAAGGTGGAGAGTCAGCGAAGGAGAGGAAGACCCTCAACCAGGGGGACTGACACAGTGACTGCTGCAACAGGCTAAAATGTGTCAGGAAGAGTAAGGATAAGAGAGGCTAGGACGAATTTCAGATCTGTTGGTCACTGGGTCACTATGAGTCGTACTCAACTCAATGGCACCTAACAACAACAGCTGAAAGGGAATCCTGGACTCCAAGCTTTGAGTTCAGGAGTCTGATCAAGCAGAGAAGTAACTGGAGTAAAAAGGATCTATAATCTAGCCATGATGGGGCTGGATCCCAGGCACAACTTATATGTTAACAAGGAAAGGATCCTGACAAAAGACTATGTGAGAACATCCTGGTGGAATCCTAAAGCCTCTGTCTCAGGCAGGACACAACTCTCACCCCACCCTGCCACCCGCCACTGCCAGGAAGGAAAACCATTTCATGAATTCCCTTCTCCACTTTCACACAACACACAGCCAGAGTGAACCAACTGTCATCAACCAAATAAACCCAGCATGGAGGGACTTAAATTCTTAAGGGAGTAACTGAAGTGTTAAAAGAGGGCTGGATTAAAATGTATAAAATATATCATTAAGGTTTCACTTTACATTTATGATTATCAATCTAAACTGAGTAGTAATTTAAAGGCCCTTTTTCTAGCAACATCATTTCCCATTCTGGTCAGGGTATTTTTGCTCGTTCAAGTCATGTTTCTGCTCCTCAGTATGACAAGGAGATAGCTGTGCTCACATAAAAACAAAGTCATTAGATGCTTTTGTTGATGTTAGGTGTTGAGTGCAACTCATAACAACTCTGAACAACAGATCTGAACCCCGTCCTGTCCTGTGCCATCCTCATCTCTGATATACCTGAGCTCTGACCTCCACTGCTGAGTCACTGTGTGAGTCCATGTTGTTGAGGGTCTTCCTCTCATTCTGACCCTCCACACCTTTCCAGCATGAGACATTTTTCGTGTTCCTGTCACCACCTTGTGTCTCTTCTCTTTCCTTCCGTCAAAGGACAACACCCTGCATGTGCTCTTTATATGGTTTCCTTGCATTCTCTTACCCCTGTATCTTTCCTCCTGTCCTCCAGCCTACTCAAAAGCCTCATCTCATGTCTAATTTTTAAAGCTAAAACTGCCTTATTAAGGCCTCTGCCAATGGAGGACTTGTGAGGTATCACAGGGCACAAACAGCACATTAGAAAGTTGCTCTCATTTACAATATTCACCATTATTTTCCCACCTCTTCATCGTTTTGTGTTTTACTTTTCATGGTAAACTGAAGCTAATTTCTCCATTCAGAAATATATATACAGTGCCCTGATCCTGTTATCTCTGGTCTAGGAGGCTGGAAAAGCACAGGACTAGGGCATGGGCAATGCCTTCTTTGTGGATTCTCCTGGGAATAAGGTGGCAAAGGACAGTCTTCCTTACCCTGCTCCATGCATGGCTTCCACTTGATGAAGGCTTGACTCAATTACAGATGTCAGGGCGGCAAATTCCTGGACATGTAACGTGATGCACATGGTCCAGACCTTCTTCAGAGCCAGTAGGGCATACAGTCGGACACTGAAGTTGTGGCTGAAACACCACTGCAGCACAGTAACGAGGGCCTGCTTCAGGACCAGCTTCTGAAAAGAAAGGGGAGGCGTCTGCCAATGTAATTGTTGTGGCTGGCTGGCAGAGACAAAGCGTGTAAGTGATGGGGTCCAACAGGGCTCGCCTCACTGGCTCTGTGTAGGTGGGGTGCTGACTGTCTGAGAGACCAGGGCGTGCCAAGTGATGGGGTGCCACACAGGGCTCATCTCATAGGCTCTGTGAAGCAGGGGGTGCTGGATTGTCTGAGAGAATCATTCTTGTGAACTCTTTTTCTTCAAACCATTTGGGATCACCTGGTAGTGGCTCCTCTGTCCGTCCCATGGACACACTCTTTTCCTCTGCTAACCCGTCCCTACTGCAGCACCACAACATCCTCCATGCTCATTCTGTGTACCTCCTGCTCAGCTGATTCTCCAAGAAGCCTGGCTTCTTTTGTGGAGAATGGTATTAGCAACAAGATTAAGGAGTAGGTGTATATTATTTTTAAATAAAGCAAAAAAAAAAAGGGAAAAAAAAAGAACCAACCAAATATTACAATTCTCAATAAACAGTTCAATTCTCCTGCGGATCCCAGAACCAAAAACATTTCTGCCACTATCACCAGTGATCGAAGGGTACAGATATAGCACTTTGTCAACCTTAACACTTCTTCCACTTGTGTTAGTCAAGAAAGATTGCTATACTCACTTTATTTTCTGATAATAACTATATACAAAAAAGCTATCAGAAAAAAAAAATACATATAAACGCCATTAAGAAACTTTGGGGATTTCCCCCCCTTTATTTTAGCTTGTGTAGGGCATTTAGTGCTTTGAGCTCTGTTGTATTTGAGGAGAGTTTTCCATCACTTAGTCCAGAGTGCACACAGAGGATCAGTAACGCTCTGATGCACATGGAAGGTCTCAAAAGCTGTTTCTAAGAAGTCTTCAAATGAGCCCATTTATTTCAACAATGATAGCTTATGCAAATTAGAAATGGGAAGACTGATAAAGTAGCTTAGCCTGGTTTTTCTGTCCATGGGAATGAAACAGCATCCAGTTCTGGGCCCCATCCCACTGCTGCAGCTGCAGTGTCGACCACCATGGGTGGAATCTTTTTTTTGCTGACCTTCTGCTTTACCAAGTATGAGGTCCTCCACCAGGAGCCTGTCCCTCCTGACTGCAGCTTGTCCACAGTGTATGAGATAAAGTCTAACTACCTTTGCTTCCAAGGAACATTCCAAGTTGGAACTTCACCAAGTTGGATTTGTGCATTCTGTTGGTTGTCCATGGTTTGAGTATTTTTCACCAACACCATAATCCAAATGTAATAATCCTTCTGTCTTATTCATTCTCCAGCTTTGATATGCATGAGGAGACTCAAAGACCATGGCTTGGGTCACTTTAGTCCTCAGAGGGACATCTGTGTTTCTTAATACTTCATAGAGGCCTTTGCAGTAGATGTATTCAAAACAAAAAGTCGTTCCCTTTCTTGATGGTGGATCCAAATAAAATTATATCCCTAACAACTTCAACAATTTCTCCTTTACCAGGGTATTTCTCATTGGTCTGTCTTAGGCTGGGTTCTTTGGAGAAATAAAGTTAATTTTACACACACACACACAAAATCAACCAAAAAAACCAAAAACACAGATATACAGAAGATGGGCAACCTCTTCCCGTGCGATTCACTGCTTCTGAAAACCTGCTGGAGGGTCAGGAATTGGTCAGTTCCAACTTGATGGCACACAACATCACCACCACGCACACACACAGGGGAGTAACTAATTCATGTGCTTTTAAAGGTGAGTCCCAGGTTTACAGATCTGGCCTAAAGAGAAAGGCTTTTGGGCAGGCAGACACACATGGTCAGCAGGCAGGCAGGGGCCTCACGCTTTGGAGACTGCCATATCTAAGGTCATTATGGGGAAATAGAGTCCTAGATGGTGGACAAGTGGAAAGCTGGCAAGTACAACAAGCCACGGCTTCATGTTTAGAGGCCATGTGCAGGACACCCAGGATGGAGATACCAAGGAGGCCACAGAACGAGGACTCTTGCTCTTAATCAGAGAAGGTGATCCTATCTTTTAAATCCACTTGTACCCATGCCATAATTTCTTTTCTGGGTTTTTTAAAATAAATTTATTTTTTAATTCATTGTTGTACATTTTCTCCTCTCCGCCCCTCCCCCTCTCCCTGCTCCTCCTCAATGCACCCCTTGTTCAAAATTGTTCTCAGACATATAATGCATAATCATATATTCCTTTTGGACAATTCTTCCCCGTATCTGTTTTAATGCAGTGTTCATTATCTATCCACTTCCCTCTCCAACACCCCCATGTTGGTCCGATTTGATAAGTGGTGTTATGCAGTTTTTGTCCTTTTGTGACCAAGATATTTCACTCAGCAAAATGTCCTAAAGGCTCCTCCATGTTGTGTAATGTTTTACTGTTTCACTGTTTTACAATCCTGTGTAATAAACCATTGTGTGACTGAACCATAGTTTTTCCTATCTGTTTGTTGATGGGCACTTGCCATCGCTTCCATCTCTTTGCTATTGTGAATAAGAAGCAATAAACATGGGAGTGCATACATCTATTTAAGTTACTGCTCTGGTTTCTAAAGAAAGTAGGATCTATTCCTAGCATTAGAATTGTGGGGTCAAATTGTGTTTCTAGTTTCAACTTTTTGAGAAAGTGCCAGACTGCTTTCCATAGATAGGCTGTACCATTTTACACTCCCACCAGCAGTAAGGGTTCTCATCTCTCCACAACCTCACCAGCATTTGTCGTTTGCTGCCCTGCTGAACTATGCTATTGTTGCTGGGGTGAGATGATATGTCATAGCTGTTTTTAGAATTCTTATTATACTGAGGATTCTGTCTATGTTGACACAAAATATTAGCCATCAGTGTCCATCTGTGAGGATCTGCGTTCTCTTGATTTTGAGGTGTAATCTACTGTGATCTTCAACAGTACATTCTTTCAATCTCTGCTTCACTAAGCAAAGTTGTGTCACGTCACTAGTAAGAAGTCCTTGAACCCTGATGCTGAGTTCTTTTTTCAGATGGTCTAGCTTCTCAGATGATTTGCTCAGGGTACACACTTAAAGAGTATAACGCAAGGAACACATCTTCCCAGATTTCAAACCATACCACCTCCGTGTGTTCTGTTCCAATGTCTGCCTGCCTGTTGGTCTGTATATAGGCCCCACATAAGCACAAAGAAGGTTCTGGAGTTTCTACAGGAGCTCTAGTGGTGTAGTCCGTAGGAAGCTGCACTGCTAACACAAAGGCCATGCATTTCCAGTAGTTCAAATCCACCAGCTTCTCCATGGGAGAAAGATGAACAATCTCCACTCGTGTGATTTACCGTCTCTGAAAACCTGCTGGAGGGTCCACTGTAACTTGGTCCTGACTCAACAATGAGTGAGTGGAGTTCGTATTCTTCAGTTTAACTCATTTGTTATGATCTACATAATCAATGCATTTATATACACAATAAAAGGAAACACTTTTCTAATATTCCAGCTTTCAGCTAACATCCATCTGACACAGTAACACTCTCTCCATTGTTCCACATCCTCTTCTGAAACCAGCCTCAATTTCTGGCAGTTCTCTGTCACTGTACTCCTTGTAAACATTTTCAAATGTATCTTCAGCAAAATTTTACTTTGCATGATACTAATTTTACTGTCTGACAATTTCCAAATTCTGGGGCTTACTTTTCCTTTTCTGGCAGTTCCCTGTCACTGTACTCCTTATAAACATTTTCAAATTATCTTCAGCAAAATTTTACTTTGTATGATATTAATTTTAATGTGACAATTTCCAGATTCTGCTGGATCACTTTTCCTTGTCAGCCAGCTAGGTCTTTCACATCTGTGGTCTCACACGTTTCTTGGAGAGATGAGCCAGTACCACATGTGCTACATACTTTTGCTGAAATATTTCAACTGGTATGTTGTCAATTCCTGCAGCCTTGGTTTTCATGATGTGTTCAGCTCAACCTGAACTTCTTCCTTCAATACCAGTGGTTCTTAGTCACATGTTACCAGGAGTTCTGGTGTCCTATTAGGTAAGGAGTTGCAGTGCCAACCCAAAGTTAGGTGGTTCAAATCCACCAGCTGCTCCACAGGAGAAAGATGGACAACCTTCTTCATGCAATTTATAGCCTCTAAAACCCTGCTGCAGCATCAGCTATGAGTTAGTTCCAATTAGAGGGTACCCAACAACAAAAATAACTGCCTCGTGAAATGTCAGCAACTTCTCCATTCTCCATTACAATGTAACTCTGTATTCCTTCCACAGAGTGAATCTGAGACACTCTGATGCTGAAGCTTTCTTCATCTTCTCACTTGGTGTCAACACAGGATCACGAAACTATACTACAACTGCCATCTTGGTGGCAGACACTGTAAGCACCATCAACTTTAAGATACCCTAAATTTGATTGGTACCACTGTTTAGAGAACAGAACACTGAAAAATTCTAGGAAACGTCTCCCTTCTGTAGGTCATTGTCAGTAAGATTCACTTACAGTGGGAGAAATGTTCAACAATGAAAGAATGAAAATGCAACTTTTTGTAAACTTTCGTTAAAATCACAATTATTTTTTAAAAAACAACAATCAAAACATTTTCTCTGAGAAGAAAAAAAAAAAAAGGAAAGGATCACATCCTGTTTCAAATCAGTGACCCTCCAGTGGGCTTCTCAGGCTGTAAAACTGCAGTGGGATGAGACTGTCTTTCTCCAGCAGAGCTGCTGGTGAGTTGGAATTCCAGAGATACTTAGACTTTGGGCTAGCAGAGCAACCTGCCATGGGCTTCATCCCCAGAACTGTCTGCATGTAAAAATACTTCTTATTTTGCATGCTACGTTTCCTTGCAGAGTCAGTACACTCTGCTCTGTACATGACCTAATTCAGAACCTTGCTCGAGATCTTTCCGGCAAGTTCTCTTACAGTCCTTACAGCTGCTCTAGTGATTGGGAACAACTAGTTGGGATTCCTGCTCATCTGTGTGGAAAACCACTAAGGAAAAGGCTCTAAACCCGGGGAAGACAAAACATCTGGCATTCCAAATGACAGTCATTTTATATCAAGCTCTAGTATCCAATAGATTTTAATATTCTAACCTTATACTCATTAAATACTTGCCAGTTAATCAAGGAAAAAGGTATATAAGAGAGGAAAAAAAAAGTACTATTTAAAGAATTCTAAGCAAAAACTAATTTAAGAACAAATTTAAGAATTCTATCTATCCATAGAAAAGATACATAAAAAAAAATACATTAAAGTATCTAAAAAGTTAGTGATCATTCAGGCATTATTTCAGAGTGTGTGAGTGAGTGTGTGTTTAAGTGTACTTTACTCTGCATCACTAATTATGTGTAAACAATGGGAGAAAATAAAAGAGAAAGGAAGAAATTACAAGAAAGAAAATGAAAAATATTCTACCTTTTTAAAAAATTGCACAAACAGATAAAATACAATTTATACTGACCTTTTCTGGAATATTTTGAACAATGACGTCCAAATGTGATAAAACGGATAAAAATGTACAAATGCTTGTTTTAAATTTTTCTTCACCCTGAAACAAGAAATAACCATGTAAGTGCAGGTAAACAGATCCCCACGCCAGTCTTGCTGTAAGAGTGCTGGAGGCCTTGGGCTGAACCTGGTCTGCCCCTCAAGTAGCCTGCAGCTCTCTGCTCGGCTGCAGGAAAAGGGTGAAAAGGAAAATTACCTCCAAAACTCGAATGTACACACCAATGCGCAGAAAGCAATACAAGGCAAGGCACAAAGTAATTTAACTGCGAAGTGGACAGGAGAGGCAAAGGCCGGCCTGCCTCCAGATGGGCAGGCTTGGCCCAGAAGTGGGACCACAAAGGGGAGTACTGAGAAGGGAGATAAAAGAGGAATCAAATGTCAAAGACACAGAGGTAAATGCAAGAGAACTGCAGTGAAAGGCAAAGAGGCCAGCCTGGCAGAAGGATGACAGAGAGAAGGTTCACAGGCTAAATGGAATCACACTGCAGAAGACTTTTTAAAAGCCATGATAGAAGATAAAATTCTTATTATAGGATTTCTGAAAATACAGTGCACCTCAGTAGTTTTAGGAGGGCATAGGAGGAAGGCAAAGGACATTGATTCTGAAATTTGTTAGTAAAGGTAAAAGACCAGCACGCTGGCTGGGTGGAAGCGTGAAGACAGTGGGGAGAGAATTCTACATGTAAACTAAGAAGGAGACGGAGACAAGGACACAGGCAGAAGGGCATGAGAACTAGCCTTCCCTGAAACAGAGAAACAAGCCATAAATTTTAAAGAGGGCACTTCCATTTGTACACACTAAAATGCAAGATCATTCACTGAGCACATGAAGGCTCAATCGGAGATTCTGAAGAAAACAATGGTACCCATTCACAAATTAGGTAAAAAAACAACCAATTATTTGTCAATGATATTGTCATTATGTGCTGGTGATTCAGAACCATCTCATAAATGAACCTCCAGAAAGTAAACTGTACAGGAGAAGGTTGCCCATCTGTCTCCTGCACAGCAGCTGGTGAATTTGAACCACATGCCTTTTGGTTGGTAACACATCTCCTTATCACTAAGTCACCACTGCTCCACAGTTATTTGCTGCTGCTGTTGTGTACTGTTGAGTTATAACTGATACATAGGTGACCCTCCAGTGGGTTACTGGGGGCTGTAAATTGCATAGGAGGACAACACTCGGCCTTCTCCTATGGAGTAGCTGGTGGATTTGAACCACGTACATTTGTGTTGGCAGAGCCAATTTCTTACCACTAACTATATTATTCTAACTATAGTGGTATAACTAGGGGAAATATTTAGAGGCGATGACAGTAGGCATTAAAGAAGACTAGAAATGAATTCATAAATGAGGTGAATGACAAAGGGTCCCTAGTCTTTCTATTTCACTACATTTGAAATTTTCAAATATTTTTCTTTAGAGAGTAAGTAATGTCTTTTTCATCACTTATTACTACAAATACTGATGATGCTTAGCAAATAAACAAAAGGCACTTATTTCCATTACTTTTTAACCTAAACAAGGCATTTCCACATTTACTAATTCTATATGGGTCAGATTTAAAATGAAAACTCTGACCCTGATTAATTCAGTAATTTCTTCCTCATAGATCTAACAGTTCAGATCTCACAGAGTAAAACTGACGATGCCAGACAAGACAGAAAGCCCACAAACCCCAAATGGAACACATCTCCCAGCAGAATAAGAACTGGTAACTTAAAATGAGTTAGAAAACAATTACACAAAAATGCCTTTACTTACAGAAGAAAAACAATCCCAGAATTTTGGAAAAAACTGAGGAAATTTATGAAGAATCAGTATAATAATCCATTCTAAGAGATATTTGATGGATGCCTGATTATTGACGAAGCCGGCCTGGAAGATCTTGTCAATAATTCCATTCAAGAAATTCTAGGGGAAAATTAAGCTCAGAAATTAAACCTTTTGCCATAATTAAAAAATATTTTTTAAAACAACAGTTTTAACCTAGCCATTTTATCATTTATTTTCTTATGGCTAAAATATGAAAGTTTCCATTTTAAGCATTTTTAATTGTATAATTCAGTATCATTACTTACATTTATAATGTTGGATAACCACAACCTTTTATGATATTGAATCTTTTCCCCTTTATTCCAGTTTTCTGGAGTTTTTTCCCTTTAACATGACAGGTTGTTGTAACAAACCCACTTCGCTAAACAGTCGTGTGACACCCACATCCTCCGCTGGTTATCTAAGCTGTAAATCTTAACAGGAGGACACAGCCTCATTTTCCTCCCCACAGAGTGGCTGCTCGGCTCAAAACACTGACCTCTGTCTGGTTAGCAGCCCAACACGTAACCTATTTCTAGGGCCAAAGACCTTCTCTGAGCTGACTAAGATTTACAGGGTTTTCCTTTGCCCTCCTCTGTGGTGCACGACAAAGAAAGATAATTTTCTTAAAGTTGATCTTTTACTGTAGTTTGAGAGAAACTGACAGAGCTTTTGCTTTCCGTGCATTTGTTCATTGCCATTTTATTTCATGCCAGGCACTCCAGTCTTTACTCTAACAGCACTCTCCCAGCTTCTCCCCATGTCTGCATTCTTCCCCCTTCTGTTTCATGAGCCTGATTACAATCACCACACTCTAACAGCACTCTCCCAGCATCTCCCCGTATTTCCTGTCTCGATTGCATTCTCTTCCTCTCTCAGATCCCTCTCTGCCTTCTGAGCTTTAACTTAATGCAAGACACCACGCTGATTCAAAGATTAATTTTCTAAGGTTGAGCCATTCTTGTGGGATAATTTAAACAGAGTAATTCTTAATTTTAAAATGCCCTGTAACATCATCTATAGAATCATTTATTGATGTGGAAACATGATGCTCAGCACAAGGCTTGTACCTACCTGATCAAATCTGGGGAAGAGTATGAGCAGAGTCTGCCAGATGCGGTTTTTCACTCTGTGCTGCAGAGAATTCATGTAATAGCGTGTTCTGGACTTGGACACCAATTCATCCTGGGGGAATGAATATGGAACTGTACACTGATGTGACCAATGAAAACAAAACTAATGACAACTTCAAACAGAATACATCTGAATTGGGATGAGTGGCTTATTTCTCCCATAAATACGGAATTTAGCTGTTCTATTTCTCTCCTTTAAAAATTATTTTAAAAAACCAAAATTCAGAGTCCACAATTAAGGCTGCATAGTGGAATGTACTTGGGGTGGTGGGAGGGGTGCAGGGGGATTGTGTACCAGGGAGGGATTGTTTCTTTTACTTTTGAAAAAGAGGAGCGAACGGGTGGGGGGGGGGCCGCAGCCTTGGGGAGAGAAGTGCAGCAATGAATGACCGGAAATCCAAAATCTCTGTAAATGTTCATTAAAATTATTAAAAAAACACACTAAAAAAACCCCAAAATTCAGTACAAAAAGTATTTGAAGATACATTTCTTTACTTATAGTACTTTGGGAATATACCTTTATCATAGAAATGTATTTCTTCATGGCCAGTTAACAAGGAGCTATGAGCCCATACAGGAGAGAAAAGACCGAGATATCTAACATATATTACGTGCACCATCATAGGCCAGCCTCCTTTTATGACCCTTTGTCTTATAAATTGGGAATAATAGTATATGCAACTTGAACTGAAAACTGCAAGGTAATTGGAGTGCATTCTCTCATTTTTACAAGGCTGTGCTGGAAAACCACTTCTCCCTAATGCACACCACCCTCAGCTTTCTCTTCCTCCACTATATAGTTCTATGTATTTGATTGCATATAAAGTTGATGAAATTTACTTAGCATACATTTTCATTACTCTGGACAATAGTAACTTGATTACTCCACTTCCTTGGGGACATGTCAATTTGAATCAGGCATTTTAGGCTTCCCAGAGGGCAGAGCTCAGTGTTGATGCAACAGAAAGGATTACTACCAGGGATGACCACACAAGCATCAAAAAAGAGCCTCTTCACACCAATACCCCCCCATTAGAGCCATGCCAAGGGGGCCTTGTGGCAAAATGGTTAAAGCACTCAATTGCTGACTGAAGAGGTCAACAGTTTGACTCCACCAGTCACTCCAAGGGGCAAAAGACCTGGCACTCTTTTTCCCTAAAGATTTAAACTTAGGAAACCCCGTGGGGCCGCTTTGCCTGGTTCTGTAGGGTCACAAGAACTTGAAAGTGACTCCTTGTCAAACCACTCAGCCAAATCTGAGTCCTGCTCTCGATTCAAAGTGTCTGCTCCTACAATGTCCTTTTCTGCCCAGCTCTGACCTTGCAGTTGCATCACTAAATTTGCTCTCTTACTCAGAAAGCTCTTTCTTCTTCCGACCAGTCTATCAACTCTTTCCTAGCTTAATGTCCCTTCTTTCTACACCATCCAAGCCCCATGAACAAGCTCATTATTTTAGGGACACATTCAGCACAATGTCCAATCCCCTTGCACGTTTCCTCCTTGTCAATCAGCCCAGTGGTCTGAGTCATGCGTTCAGGTTACAGGTACTTCCCAGTGGTCAGAGCTGTTGGTCCTGCGTTCAGGTTACAGGCATGCTGAAGGAAAAGCAAACCCCTTGGTCCAGCTGACTTCATTAAACACACGTATGTAAGCAGGTTCAGAACCCACTCCTGCTGGACTGGTGGTTCTCAAACTCTCTGAAGCTTCACTGTCAAAGTAAAGGCTCTCTAAACAGAGCACTGGCCCGCCTAGCACTTTGGTGGGCAGGGGACGGGGCTGTGAGAACTCTCTAAAACAGACCACTGACCCACACAGCTTTTTGGACTTAGTGGACAGGGTAGGGGCTGGGAGTCTGCAGGCCTAGGAAGCTCCCAAGGGCTGCCGACGCTGCCGGAGGAGAAAAGACCCGGGGAATCACCGTGACCGAGAGGGTGCCTTTGCCTCATCACATCTGTGCCTAGTCTGCTCCTGCAGGGAGTGTAAACTCGGTACTAAGCTCCTCAAGGACCCTGTCTCCAAACCATGTTCTTACTCCAACCCAATTATCTACATCCTCCTTCAACAGAAAAACAGATGTGACATCTCTGGAAACGAATTCACTTCCTTTCTATGTCCTCCTATAAGAAGGATCCCTATGTTCCATTCTGAGATTTAACAAATCTAAAGGGAAAAAACCCAAGCAAACCCTAATTCTTGCCGTCCTTTGATTGGCACTTACGTTGTTTCTACATTTCCGCTATCAGGGGTAACACTGCTGAGAAGACATATGTTCATGTTTTTACTTCTTGTGGGCACATTTCTAAAACTGGAACGGGTCACAGGACAACTCCATGTTTAACTTTCTGAGGAAAGGTCAAACTGTTTTCCAAAGCGGGTGCCCCATTTCACATCCTCACCAGCAGCGTGTGAGGGTTCCAACTTCTCCACTTCCTTGCTAATACATGGTGTTTTCTAATTTTACTATTATTATCATTATTCCAATACTTATTCAACTGGCTATGAGATGGCTATCCAGGAATTTTGCTGGTTATTTTTCTTGATTATTCCTGTCTCTCCAGAATCATTTTCCCTCCTCTAGTGGATGTGTGCCTTCAGCAAACAAACTTGTGGCAAACTATTTGATAGTTTTAATTTAATGTAACAATAGTAATAAAATGTAACAATAGTAATAACCTGTAAAAGCCCTTCTTTAATGCCACATACCCTCTAACATCCCTCATAAAATGCTTCATCACTCAACTCCCCTTTTCACGTGGGCTCTGATCCTCACCAGGTCACTGAACATACCTCTTGTCAAGGTGGCCAGTGACTGCCTTCCCACTGTGCCGGCTGCTTAACACCTGCCGTAGCATTTCTGTCCTTCTGTGTATCTACGGGGCAGTCCCGTCCCCCTGCCTCTGGACACTGTCTCCTTCCGGTGTCCCCTTACTCAATGGCACTTCACATCCACACCTCAGTTCAAACGTCAGTTTATCACAAAGGCTGTATTTGATCCCCAATCTAAATGGCCACACCCCCCCTTCAAACACGACTTCTATTTTTATATTCTACATCAGTGCCCACCACTTTAAATTCTATGCTATTCTCTACTGAACAAATAAAACATGCTATCAGACACCTCCCATCTTCCCAGGTAATCGAAGACGCAAAAACCACGCGACATTCGTTCTGGCCCGAGGGCCGCAAGAAAAACCTATCTACACACCAGTTCTACAGGAACTTCCCTTTGCTCGGGAAACATTACGACTAAACTTCAGAGACATTGATCCCAACATAAGGAACTACCATCAGCTGATGTGTTTGGAATCACAGAAGCCATGAAAGCTTCATATATAAGTTATTAGATGGAGGGCTGGTCAAAGGGAGATAGATGTGAAGGGAGGGGGTAGAAGTGGATGGGTATCCTGGT